GTCGTGTAGTGAGATAGTGTATCGGCTCCAGTAAATTTTCCCAATTATAACCACTCTCGTCCATTGTACAACGAATATCTTACCCTAAAAAACAACGTAGTCTTTTCTCGAATTTGAGACACGAATTCTTCAGCACACATCAGTATTCGTCTAAACATGAATTTAAAAATCTAAAGTAGATTTTAATAAAAAGTTGATGAAAATATTATTATATTTTTTTTTTCCTCAAATTTTAAATTGCTAAAACAAACATGCTTATATTCTCTCAACTCCATTTCAAGATTACATCAAAAACTTTCTATTATGATCAAAAAAACAAATTGGTGCAAAGCTACATAAAAGTAACAATAGGGTATTTATTCGCTATATTGTTCTACTTGATTACTGAATTTACAATTTACACCCTAACAATCAAATATTATCATTCAACCACAAGAATCAGTAAGAAAGGACAGAATCAAAGTAATGCCGTGGCAGAACCACAACTCCCGTGGAATCGCCTCTGCTGACACAGACGTCTCCCAATCCGATTCTCTCAACTCCTCTCCTCCATCCCGCCGCCGCCGCCGCCACCGTCCGCGGCATTGCTGGCGGCATCAACCGACATTGTCCCCTCTCTTCTGCTCCCGCTCCGCAACCTTATCAGACCGTAAAGCTTCCTGAACTCCCTCACCGTAGCATCCTTTCCAACCCCTATTCTCTCTGAAGTGCAACTGATCAGCTCCGACTCCGACAGCCGCCGGCTTCCGGTTGAAAACCCCGTGACGATCGACTTTTCAGCCCCGCCGAAAGAAGTGGATCGTTGCAGGGCGTTGATGACGGATTTGAGCGCTCGGCTCGGCGATCCGCGATTAGCGATCATGATTTCGCCAATCTCTGCGGGGCTTAGTTTTGTTCCGGTCTGAAACCCTTCTTCCACCTGCGGGAAGAGCTTGTGATCTTTAAGCCCTAGGTAGCTGCTCGCCAGAGATTTGAAGGCTGTGAAATCGCAGAGGGGAAAATTGATATGAACATCGAGACGACCTGGCCGAGTCACCGCCGAATCGAGCGTCTCCTTGCTGACGCTTGCCGTGAATACCATCACCCGCTCTTCGGCGCAGCAAGAGAAGACACCATCCATGAAGTTTAGCATCCTGCTGATGTCTCCGGCGGCGGCGAGGTACCGGTCGAGATCTTCGATTAAGATTATGGATCTGGGACTCGTATCAAGGAGGAGCGAGCGGAGATCGGTAGCATCAGAGACGACGGAGAGGTCGAGGTCATAGATATCGTAGCAGAGAAATCGCGCCATGGCAACGACGAAGCTTGATTTTCCGGTACCCGGAGGGCCATGGAGGAGGTAGCTTCGCTTCCACACGCGGCCAAGCCGCGTATAATAGGCTCGCCCCTTTAGAAACGATTCAAGATCGGACATCACCCTGTTCTTGATATCCTGTTCCATTGCCACCGTCTCCATCGTAGCTGGATGCGTCATCGGAACCGATCTCCACTTCCCGCCGGCGATCGTATACATCATAATTTCCTTCCGACGGTTCTCGATCTCCCCCGCCGCGTTCTCCACATACTGAAGATACGGCCGGAGCACGCGGTACCGATCCTGCCTCCGAAGCCGGAGCACAAGGCACCCCCCATCGCCGCCCCCTGGAAGAGAACTCCACGAAACCCGAGCGCCGAGGAAAAAATCGTAAACCACCTGTCCGGCTGCAAGCTGGGCCGAGAACTCGTTATGCCGGACACCGGAGGAGAACAGATTGGTGTGATCAGAATCCTCAGCAGCGGGAAGCGCGGCGACGTAGGCTGCCGCTTTCCTATACAAAGGATTCTCCTGCAATCCTTCACCATATCGGGGGACATTGAAGCTCTGATACGCCTGCGTTCTTTCCTCTCCCCATCGCCATAATCGCCCGAGTAGGTATAGCAGGGATTTCAGGGACAACACGAAACGAAGTATCGAAAGGCCGAAGAGAACGGCGACGGCCGCTCGGAGGAGGCTCGCCGCCGAGAGTCTCGCCGCCGATGAGGCGATCATTGGATTGGAGAAGACGGAGAGAAGGGAGAAAGAAGATGAGCTATTAGTTTCGGGGATCAGAGCATTTGATTTCCTTTCTTTTATGGTAAGAAATTTATAGTGATTGAAATTCCTGCTTTTTGTTAGCGATGGATGAGAGCCATGATTCTAAGCTTGGAATGAGAAATCGGCGTGCCATTTGGACTTTACGGGTAGCTGATGAAATGGTCCAACTAAATATAGTAGCTGATGAAATGGTCCAACTAAATCGATATATATATTAAATATAAATTAGGAATTTAAGAACAATATATAATATTTTCATAATTAACTACGATGGCATGAATTAATATGTTCAATTGGATGGTACTTGATTGTTAATTCAATCCAAGTTATTAAACATTAATATTAAGCAAGTATTGTTAAGTATGAGGTGGACAAGCAACGTTTTGTTGTGTTTGACCTTTTGGAGTACAGGAGAAAAATGCAAGTTTCAAAGTCTCAAGCGACAACATCATCCTTCCATAAATGGCCGGTGATTATCTATTGCTTGCTGGAAATTTGTGGTAATAGAGTTCACATTTTAATTTTTATTTTTGAGTGCTTCTATTGATATGACAATAGGGGGTGGGGGGGTCAAATAGTCTGATCTCAATTTGACTTGAGCAAATCATTTTAACATAGAGTATAATAATCATTTGGTCAAAATTTAAGTTTAAGTCAAATCTAAGCTCTTGGGATAGATATAGGTCAAATTTGATGACCCTAAATGGAGATTATGAGTGAAAAATTAAATTGTGTTAGGACTTCGATCACGAACCTAATCTAAAGGTTGATTGAGTCAACTCAAATGTGAATTTTCTTTTTTCAACTTAGGTTCACATATGGCCAAATTTTGACACTCATTATTATAAATTAATAGTTTAAGTCATGCAAATTGTATACGCCTAAAAAACCTTTGGACTGCCTAATTGTCAAACTGAAGAATTGCCTGAATGTCGAACTGTCCGGATGTCGAATTGATCAACTGCGAATTGTAGAACTTTCCAATTGCCAAATTGTTTAGCTGTCAAATTGTTGAACTACTTAGTCGTCGAATTATCGAACTATCCAGCTATCGAATTGCCAAGTTGTTGAACTACTAAATTCAATTACATGGTAAGACATAACATAAAACTACAAGAATTATATAAAGGTGCATGATGTGATATAAAGCTGCAAAATGTGACATAATATTATGTATATTTTTATATTTTTATTATGTACGATGAAAAAAGAGGACCATGACTTATAAATAAAGTTCTAATATAGGAGAAAAAATGGCTCTTTCTTCCATGGGCTACTCCTCATGTGTTTCTTTCTCCCTCTTATGCTCAACGATAGTAGGATTTGGGCATAATCTATGGACAATACGAGACTCTACGTCCTAAAAAAATTCAACATCGTGAAAGGTACGGTGAATGTGGATATATTCCTAAAATCTGAAATTGTGCAGGACAACCAACATCATACTATATAATTTTTCACTAGGTAAGTATCATATCCTTGAATCTTTAATTTTTGTCTAATTTATTTTATATAATTTTTCTTTAGTGCTTTTGTTTTTTAAAATATTTTTTTTTTGGTAAATCAAGAAACTTGCCTCTCTTAAGCAAGTTATGTAAGAGTAAAATAAAATACGTCTAAAAATTTAGATCATACTTGGTTCAATAGTCAAATGCTGGGGCTGACTTTGAAAAAACTCTTTTCAGAAATATAGCTTGGTTGAATATAAAATGAAGTCAATTAACATAAAGATCATAGATCAGAATATCTCAATCTATGTAAAGTTGAAAAATTATGATGACTGCTCCCTATAGGTGTAGCCAAAGTGCCCCAAGTCGAAGGATAATCCAAATTTAATGAAATCGCTTTTATCCACTTACTATTGAGTTATATTATAATGAAACAATCAATCTAGTCACATAAAAAAATAAAGACAATTTATTTTTTTACTGATAATAACTATCCATTTAAGACCATCGGGTCGACTATAAAATCTCTGAAGGTGAGTCATAATGCCTCCAAGACAAAATACTTGAGGTATAGCCAAAATGTGGAGGTATAGCCAAAATGCCCTAGGATTATTTCCTATAGAAGTGCTAAGAGCTCACATATAGATGAATAGTTACTAGAAAACGAAATATATTGCCCATTTTTTATCAAAATTATTTTTTATATGTATTGTTGAATTCATATTTGAAAAAATTAGTATACGCTTGCCTTATAAAGGAGTAATGCATAGCTTCATGTTTTTTATTCACTTTTTACGCAGTTGTCTGCCAAAGAAATAAGGGAAATAGCAAAATAAATGTACACACTTGTAGAGGCCTTCCTAGATGCCTAACTTAGAACTGATAAACTGCCAAACTGGTGAATTGTTTAACTATAGAACTGCCCAACAGTCAAATTCTGCAGCTATCTAATTGACCAACTATCGCATTGTTGAATTGCCCTGCTAACAAATTATCGAATTGTCCTGCTGTTTAATCGTAGAATTGTCAAGCTGTCAAATTCCCTAGCTACCAAATTGTTGAACTACCTAGCTTCTAAACTACCAAGTTATCGAATTGCCTAGCATTCAAATTGTTGAACTACCCAGTTGCTGAATTGCCCAACTGTTGAACTACCTAAGTGTTAACTTAAACTGCATAACACGACATGACATAAAGTTGTAGAATATGACATAAATCTGTATGATATGATATAACATTATGTATCTTTTTATATTTTTATTTTGTACCATGAAAGGAAAGACCGAAGACTTATAATTAGATGCCAAATATAAAATTAAAAGAGAAGGAAAATGACTCTCTCTTCCCATCCCATGGGCTACTCCTCTCTCTCTCTCTCTCTCTTCTTCTCAATGCCAGTAATATTTGGGCATAACTCACAGACAATACGATACTCTACGATCTAAAAAGATTCAACACAAACATATAACTAACTTTGATGGTCAATGATAATGTTTACAGTTAATAGTAAGCGACAGACATCAACATCCTAAGCACGACTTATTAATTTGGACTACTAATGAATATAGTCTTCATTGTACACTACCAATATGTATTAACCAACAAGTGACAACATTCATTAAACATCAATGTTAGCCAATAAAAGACATCAAATTTCGACATACATCCTCAGCCTTAAAAGATGAAAAGATAGTTGGTGAAAACATTCACTTATGAGAGAGAAGATAAATATTCTTTTATGGAACTTGAGTCTAATAACAATTAAATTAGAAATTAATGATTATTAGTTAATTATTAGAGTGTAAATTGAACTTAAATCTCTTATTTGAAGGAAAAACTATCTATCAACTAGTTCATGAGCCTTACAAAACATAACATTCACAACCAAACAGTTGTATGTATGATAATCTAAAGGCTGTGAAGATTTGGGCCAGCAATGATTGGGCCCACCTCAAATTTGAGGTTGGTTGGGATTCTGCTTGCTAAACCCCAGCTGTGAAATTATCATAAAAGATTTATTTCCACACTTCCCACTGGGCCCACTTCTGAACTGGGTACCACCCAGAGAGAGATTGGTTGAATGACATCTACTTCGATTTAATATTCAAAATTATATTTTATATAATTTCTTTCTAATATTTTAATTAAAAAAAAATGAACTTACTTTTGTGAGAAATAATACAAATGTAACCTTTTTTAAGGAAGAATTACTTGCTCACAGCTCAATTTCTATATGTTTACATATTTAACATATTCATTGCAAATTTTGCATATTTGCAACATTGTCTGTAGGGGGTGTAAACGAGTCACTTGTGTTCGGCTCGTTTATATTTCGAGCTCAAATGTTTTATGTTCGGCTCATTTTCTTAGCAAGTCGAACATGAGTCATTCACGAATAAATAGTCGTTTTGACGACCCTAATCACGTAGCCATCAGATGTTAAGGATTGGGGCAAGATTTAAAACATCATTTGAATCTAATTTAATAATTTTTATTCTATTTTCTTCATTAATACTTTTAATTGATTATAAATCTTTGTAGCATTGTAGTTAACTAAATTTTAAAAAAAAGACAACTCATAAATATATATATATATATATAAAATTGAATAGTAGTATTTCGAGCCAAAACGAGCCGAACACGAACGAACAAATATTTGTTCATGTTGTTCGTGTTCGGCTCGTTAACTTAGCGATCGAACAGAACACGAGCTATTCGCGAACAACGAGCCGTTCTGACAGCCCTATGTAAAAGCCTCATTTTTTAGTGTTTAAATAACACTTTACATGGTGTTATTTGTATCATGTCAGATTGTTATAGCATATCAGCTCAGCTAACATATTAATTAATAGTTTTATATAAAAACAATTCAAATAATTTCAATGTCCTAATTATGTGATATTTAAATATCTTTTACAATTAGTCAATATAATGATATGTTCACATATTTCATTATTCTTCTTAAAAATGTCTTCCTTGCATTAAATTTAAAATCAGACACGTTATCATACTGTCAAGGAAAAAATATATGCACATGCTCTTTTGTTGGCATTATAGATATTTAGATTGGCACTAAGTAGAAGTGCCAATCTAAATTTATATTTAAAATTAGAGTTATAATTATAGACAAATAAGAAAAAAAAGATGGATTATTTTATACCTAAAGTGTAAGGATGTAAATGCTTACAATATTTTATAGATAAATCATTTTATTTGTTGCCTAATTTTCGAAGTATGTCGGCTTAATAAAATGGTGGTGGGTGATGAATTTGTGGCTTGTATTTCATGCACGCACAAAACATATCGAGGCTGATTACCATTTTGTTTGTGATTGAGTAAAATCTTGTAAAATTTATGTTCATCATATTTCCATTGAGGATTGGTTCGCCAATAAGTATCAATGTCATTACCGCGCTGAAAATTGCCTAAGAGACGACATAACCAAAAAACTTCAACGAAAACTAAAGCCAAGGCCCTATACTCAGCTTCAGTGGAAGACTGAGCAAC